CGGCCGGGGGGCGGTCTGGCGTTTTGGGGAGGCCGCTGTGAATGTCGCGTCTTCGTTACGTGATGTCCCCTCCAATTCCTGGCGTGTCAGCCCCCGCTTAAAGCAAATGGCATCGTTCCTGTGAACAGCTTTAACCTTACGAGCTTTGTGCTTTGTGGTTTTTTTTTGGTTGGTTTTTCTCGTTTTGTTTCTGTCGCAGTTGAATTTCCAGCAGTCCTGTTAAACACTTCAACGGGAGAGATTGAATCTGAATTCCACACATACGTCCAGCCCCAGGAGCACCCTATTCTCTCTGAGTTTTGTACAGAACTAACTGGCATAACACAGGTATAATTGCAATTCAGCATGGTTTTACACCGTTAAAATTGCTATTTACTATTTTTTAAAATGTGCCTTTACAGAGCTAAAGAGAAACAAATCTCAAATGAATTTCGGTGCGTACTAACACATACATACCTCTTGTTCTGTTTCACAAAGAATCAAGTTGATGAAGGGGTCCCTCTAAAGATTTGTTTATCACAGTTTTTGAAATGGATTCAAAAGATACAAAAGGAGAAGAAAATTATATTCAGTTCAGATATTCCAAGCCATTCTACTTCAGAGGCAAAACCATGTACCTTTGTTACTTGGACAGGTAAATAACATTTTAATTGGCTTTTTCTATGGAATAATACACATAACAAATGAACGTTTGGTGGCGCTCGTGAGATTGCGTCTTCACTTCTAGGGAGCCAAAATCCTGTTATTAGGTATTAAAGATGTGCACTATTGGGATAAGACTGAAAAGATGAAATCTGTTGAATCCTGATGTGTTACGTTTTCTGCTTTATGTTTAGTGAACTGCGTCACCACTCTTAATGTGTCTACATGATTTAATGAGGTCTTTGAGATCTTTACTCCTGATGAAGTAATTCTTTGCTAACAGTAGGCATTCACTTACCCTGATGTCCCATCACAGCAACCCTAGTGCTTTTCGAGTACAAAGACTTTGTTAGCCTGTGCTAAGGAAGCCTGTTAGCCTATGCTTCCTTGCCCAGCAGTACAGGATGCTACTAGTATGTCAATGGTATACCCCTTTTATGTAGATCTTAAGCCCTGTTTATGTAGATTTTAGGCCAGTTCTTTAGTGATAGATTATTTGTGGTTTTTTTCCTGTGCAGACTGGGACCTCGGTGTGTGTTTGCAGTATGAGTGTAAAAGGAAGCAGCTGCAAAAACCTGACATTTTAAATTCCTGGATTGATCTCAAAGCAACATACAGGGTGAGAAGATCGATAGACTGTGAAACTTTTATACCCATATTATCATCTCAAAGGCTAACTGTGTCTGAGGTTACAAACCAATACTGTATGTTTCAGTGACTAGAGTAAACTATTTGTTTTCTTTCCATGTTGTTATCGCTCAATAACAAATTGCATGCCCTAGAACTGTGTGAATTTTAATAGAAGTCTTAATGCTAGGAAAACAACCTGGTGTTATTGTTGATAAATGAATGATAATCCTAGGAGAATTTTTTGAGCTGCCTTTCCTTTCCTGACATCTTTTGCTCTGCTTTCTTCCTAACTTCCCTGGTTTTGTGTGCTCTTACTGCTGTCTTACATTGCTGCGTAGAAAACGGCCGTCACCATCTGTTTAGAGTACTTAAAGGTCTAGCATGTGAACTGTACTTGGACCAGAAAGTATATTCTGAGCAGCATGAATAATACTGAAAAAATTAATATATTTTTTATTACACAGTCTACGCTGCAATAGAGTTCTAACTTGGGGGCTAACAGCACCTACGTGTACCTTTGCCTGTGTAGTCAAGGAAACTTGCAAAGGGTGATCCAGGAGTCTACCTTTCCTGACACTTGGCTCTTAACCCAGGTAGCAGAATTAGGTCTCTAAAGATAAACAGCGTGAATATTCCCCCCTTTCTTGTGATCAAATGAGATACTGGGAGTGAGTAGCAATACTCACTTTTTCTCATTTAAAAATTATTTATACCTACGCCAAATATATTCATGCCCATGCCTTTGCAACAGTTTAGACATCTCAAGATATTATTTATAGTTGTATTCTTCAATGCTGCTCTGTTAAGACCTTCATCAAAGCCATAAAGTGCAAATGAATGACTCCAGAGCTCGGACAGAATTGATTAGTTTAAGACTGAGAGAAGGGATTCATGGTTCTTTCCATTCCAATTTGTTACAGGGTAAGTCACTTACTGTCTTATGCTTATTTATCCCAACTGTAAAATGAAGATACCTGACTTGCACAATTGCCCTGTGAGATTTATTATTCATAAGGTGATATTTCTGAAATGGTTTTCGCTTCACCATGAAGCATATTTGAAATGCTTTATGTTAAGCACCTGCATTTTTTTTTCTTTAGGCCTTCTATAATAGGAAGCCTAAAGGGCTAAATGGTGCTTTGCAGGATTTGGGGATAGCTTTTGCAGGACGGGAACATTCTGGTAAGCATGATATGATGATCCTCATTTTAATATAGATATATTTTTATAAAGCTAAATAGCAACTATTTAGCTTTAGTTAGCTAAACTAAAGCAGCTAGTAACAGCTAGTCAGTACTCTAAATAGTAACTATTATTTCCAGGTTTTGCAATGTTCTGTTCTACAAAAATGTCAAAACAAGAAAGGTTAGATGCTTCAAAGATCAGAGTTTGTCATTTCTAACCTCAGGCTTTATATCTGAAATCTCTCCTAGTGCTATTGAGTGCGTGTTCAACCAGATCAATCTCTGAACTGCTAGGGTGCAAAAGAGGCGGAGGAAGGATAAGGAAAATTGATTTTACCTGATAGCTCTGGACAGCATATTAGTATAAGAGAATACCAGCACAATATGAAATTTTTTTACATGATTAATAAAACAGAGCAAGGATTTTAAAATTTGTGGATATATATTCAGCTCTATGGATTCATCCTTCAGATGTTTCAGCACAGGGAATTTTTTACTTCTGCCCTTTTTTGAACTAGATAACTATGTGTCAGAGTTCTGTGAATCCCTGTCATTTATGTAAGACATACCTAGATGACATTTTTCCTCCAAAAAGAACTATCCCCAGTAGTAGTTTAAAAATACGACATTAATATAACCATACTTTTAAAGGGTTGGACGATTCTCGGAATACTGCCCGTCTTGCTTGGAGGCTGATTTGTGATGGATGTGTGCTGAAGGTTACTAAATCTTTGGATAAGGTTAGTAACTACTTCATATCTTCCCTTCTACTTGCCTTGTAGCCTGGAATACAGATGAAAGGTAAGCTATTCAAATAATAAACCCAGCATCTTGACTATGAATTGAACAGAACATCCCTAGGCTGATATGCTTATTAATTTTGTGCATTGATTCCTAAAACTTCTGGGTATTCACTTTCCAAAATCTCCTTTTGTTTACGGACTCCCTAGGCACATCCGAAGAATAATTTAATTTCCAGAACACTGAGTATAAACTTCACTGACAAGACTCCACTGGGAAGTAATAGCAGACCTGAAACATCTAGAGATGGAACTTTTGAAACAAACTCTCTGGCTGAGAAAAACCACAATGGTATTGCTGGAATTAAGATAAATTCTAATGTACAAACTGAAGAACAACAGACCACTTGCAGCGATTCCTCTGCAGATGTCCACATTGCACCTAGCAGCAGCTCAAGGACTGAGTTACATGCTCAAGTCCAAAGCTCTTTAGCAGCATCTACTGACAGATTTCCTGCTCCTCTTGAGCAGGCACAGCAATCTCACAGTAGTGTATCAACACACATTCGGCAAGGATTGAGCAATGGGCAACCTCTGAGTACAACCGGATACAGCCCCCCAGTACATGGATCAGGACTAGTGCTTGTCTCCACTACTATCCCCTCAGTTAATATCTCCAGTGAGGATATCAGTACTAGTTCTGATTGCTTATCTCTGTTGACTGACTGGGAGGATGTTGCTTTAATACCAGAATCTCAATATGAACAAAATTCAGACTGCACTCAATTCAAAGATGACTCAAGTACAGATATTTTAACAGTGTTTGAAGAGAAAACAATTTCAAAACAATCAGTGGCGATGAGTTCGGATAATCAAAGTTTGGAGAAAACTGTAATACCTGTGGAACCTCTGAAATCTATCATTTACAAAAGTCCTGATACTACTATCTATAACGTAGGAATAGTACAAAGGCAGACTTCAAATTTTTCAGCCTTTAAGTTACCATCTGCAAAGGTAGATGCTATTTCTGCACAATCGGCATTAACTGGAAATTATTCTGCTCCTTCAGAGGTTCCTAAAAGAAAGCCAACTAGTCCAAAAATGTTCCCACCAGCAAAAAAAAAGTCTTTTGCTATATATAAAGAGAAAACTGCATCTTTTGATCATTCCTTACCTTTAAGAAGTTCCAATTTGTCCAAAGTGTCTCCTGCCATTCTGAACTCCACAGTCAATTTGAATCAGTCTGTAAGAGCTGTGAAAAATGGAAAACCAACTCCCCCTCTGTGTAACTGCGGTCGAAGAGCTAAAAAACTGTATGTGTCAAATGCTGGTCCAAATCACGGCAAAGCATTTTTTTGTTGTCCTGTTGGCAAACATGAAGGTAATAAGAAAGGTTGTGGATACTTCAAGTGGGAATATGTGCTTCTGAAAGAGAAATCTAATAGTCTCACCCCGAATGCAGATGCTTTGACCTCTCCTGGAACTTATGCCAGTAATTTAGGAAATTCTTCCAACAAAAAATATTTGTGTCTTAGACCCTCTATGAGAACTTGAAAAGTGATTTTTTTTTTTTTTTTTTTTTTTTTTTTGTCTGAATCTTAAACTCAGTAAGTTGATGATGCTTAATATATTCAGGACAGTCCAATGATGTCAGATACATGTTCTGAGAATGGGACAAAAATGACACTGCTTGGTTAACATAGATCAAAATGGGAATTGCTCAAGCATACAAAAATATCAATATATTGTAAAGTATCTCATTAATGAAGTGTGAGAGAACAGATAAAACTATTAAGTGCTGAAATTAAAGTATGAGCAGTTGTTGCTACAAATCTTAAATTTCTGCTTTTATCATGTATTTTAAATTCTTTCCTTTTCCAGTCCTTAAAGAACATTTTAATTATACAGATTTTAGTTACACTTTTTTTCTACATATACTTGTAATGATAACTAACTTTTAAAAGTTCATTTAGTGTCGCACTTCTCAAAAGTGATTCTTGAAGCAAGTGTTCTCTTAAACTCTTAATTTTTTTTTTATACTTTAAATAAAAATAAAGATAAAATGCTGGTAATGCTTCATTAAATACTTTATTTAACACACATCACCTATTGCACTCTTGACTACATGAGTTTCCCATTTCATTTGTGTCAGTCTGCCTGCTTTTGTACAATTAACTATTAGCGTAGCACCTGGGACAGCCAAATGCTGGGAATCAGGTAAGAATTTATTCAAACCTTAACTAAGAAGGCTACAGTAGAATGTCTTTTACTCTACGTTACTGTGTAAATCTACAATGTCTTTCTTTGTAAAAAAATCCTATAAAAAAGCAACACGTTCTTCTAATCTTTTCTCCACTCCTTCTGGCGCAGTTCATTTCTTCTGATCTTCCCACTAATAGTTTTTGGCAACTGTTGAACAAACTCCATCTATTGGAAAAGGGAGGAAATTGCAATACAAAATAAGACAGTTTACCTACATTTTTACTTTTTCTTAACCTCAGTGGGATAGGCTTATAAGCCACATAACAGTTAACATCCGCTGTCTTACGGTAGTGAAAATTATTTGGGTATTTGAGGGCTCACCTTCCTTGGATACTTGTATGGAGCAGTAACTTTCTTAACATGGTCTTGTAGCTCTTTCATCATTTTTTCTGGGTCATGCGAAGCATAGTCAGATGTTAAAACAACAAAGGCTTTCACTACCTAAAGAAGTTATGGCAGCAATGGTTTAAATGCCTATGAAATAGTTATTACACAACAGTAAGACGTGAAACTTTAACCAAACATCTGCTGACAAACTGCAGAGTAATGTATAGGGCAGGTCCGGAAAGCTTTGCTAAAGTCTGTGGGTGCTCCTATTGGTTTGGACTGTGCAGGCAAATATAATACATTTAATAAAGATGAAAAACTGTAAGTATTTGAATGACAGGAAAAGCTTCCAATGGTGCTTTTGTTATATTGGATTTGGGGCAAGTGCCTTGGTCAGTTTTTTTTCCTGTGTGGATTCTCCAGTGTCTGATAGAGTAGAAATGCTGACTTGAATTTATTCAGTTTTAATTTAAAAAAGAAAAAAACCCAAAAAATCCCTGGATAGACAAATTCCTTGGAAGTTGGGCTTTATTAGCTCTGATAGCACAAAGCTGTTTAAAGATATAAGCTTGTTGAACTTGTTTACCTCTCCTCTGATGGGGTCTGGACTGCTGACAACTGCTGATTCCACCACTGCAGGATGCTCTACCAGGGCACTTTCTACTTCAAATGGTCCAATACGGTACCTTTTAAAATGGAGGAAAGGGCTTTTAGTTGTATTTGATAAAACATACACATAATTTCACAACTGAATCATCTGTGTTATTCAAGTTTACTGATTTATTGTTAATCAGTCTTAAATTACCCAGCAGAATTAATGACATCATCAGCTCTTCCAACAAACCAGAAGTATCCATCCTCATCCATAATCCCCCTATCTCCAGTGACATAAAAATCCCCACGTATTGTTGCCTCTGTCTTCTGTGGATCATCCTAGGAGATATTAAATTGCATTTTACATGAAAACTGCCTTAAAAATACATGAAATTGCATTCTAACAACATATTTAGCATCTAAGTTATGGTACAGTCAAATATTCAAAAATTTCAGCTTTTCAGACTGGTCCATACTGTGGTCATGTGCATCAGATTCAAGTGGGTCATTAATAATAAAGGATTATTAATTCACCATTACTAAGCTACAAAACTAGATACAAAATTTGTAAATTGCAGTAGTTTTACTACTTGCAACTGACTTAAAATTTTAATCATGATATATTATCCTCCACAGCTTTTGGAACCACTGAAGGTTGCAAAAATATGTGCGCTTATGGAACTGAGAATTTGCTTTTAGGTGATTATCCTTTAATTATATTTTTTCCTTTGTGTTTCTAGCATCTCCTATACTGAGATTTTTTTTTTTTCACCCCCAGAAAAGTTTTGGCTCAGTACAGTGCAATTTAATAAGCGCTCTTTCTACAGCCAATGCAACTGACTTCAGCAATAATTTTTCTAGGCAGTATGCATGGTGTTCCTTTCCCACATGCTCAGTACTGCTCAGAAGACCTGATTATAGGCTGCTACTATCCATAAAATTTAATAAGGTTTCCTGGTGTCAGAACTGAAAGCACTATGCATTTGTTCTACTGGTTGTTGGGCTGAAAATTCTAACCAACGTGGAAAAAAAAACTAAAAAATGTTGCTGTGCATGAAAGACTCCGTGGAGCTTAAATCTGGAGGGAAGGGATTTGAACAGTGTGGTGCTTCTCAGATGGGGGCTTTAGCCCTTAGGCCAAAGAGTATTTTGGGATTAGGGGGTCTGTCAAACACTTCCCTTTTTATTAAGGAAATAACAATCAAAAGAAAGTGGATTTTAACTTGCTAGGCAGGACAATCTCATCGAACATGTAATTGTTTGCATAAGTAGACCAAGCATCTGCAGGAAAAAAAATGGAAATCCCTCTTTCCTCCCTACAGGTTTTTCAGACCGGTAAGCAGAGTATATGTAAATGAAATGGGGCATCAGATTCCTTGTGACAGAGATTTAACAGGATATTCTTACAGCATAACAAGTAAAAAGAAAAGGCGATCTCGTAGGTTTTACTCTGATGGCAATATCTCCTTCTTTTCCAGGAGGCAGAATATTACTGTTTTCATCTATAATCTAAAAAAAAAAAAAAACCCAAACAGTTTTATTATCTGGGAGACAAATTAAAAAGCATTATGTTAAGATTATAGAATCTTGGTGCACATTTAAAATACATAAAGTATTTTTTTTATTGGGAAATGATTTGGAGCAGTAGAGGGTCTTACTCTGAAAACTGACGTGTTAAGATTATTACTAATCCACTGTACTCTGCACTGTGTCTTTTATCTGAGGAATGCCAAGCACTACGCAAACACATAATGAAGTTAGTAAGACCCCAGGAAGGATCATGAGTAATGGGGTGGGAAAACTTAAGAACTGAACGGAAGATACTAAAAATCTTAACCCATATTGCAAATTGATCTGGTGCTAGAATCTGCTTCAGCAGTTTTGTTATCACCAGGAAACAACATTCACTCCCACTCTTCCTTAACTCAGCAATTTAATTTCTATCATTGCCTTAATGTTTGATAGCTGTCAGTTAGCAGTGGGTTGTCATCTATGTTGGTGACGATGGTGCAACAGGGAAGTCCAATTGTTTATTTTGCACACTCAGTTTAGGGCAGTAACATGCATTTCTTCACTCTTTCATTCACTGCTGAATGATGGTACAACTCCGTGTCAGAGGTTTCAAACCTCTTTAATGGAAAGTGATTATGGAAGAGAGAGAGACTGAGTCATCAGAGGTACGATACCTTGACATCATACCCTGGAGATGGCTTTCCCATAGAGCCAGGTTTGATTTTCATTCCCTTAAAATTTCCACAGATCAGCACCTGTAACAAGTGTTGTTGGGGTTGGTTGGGTTTTTTTTTAATTAAACTGTGGCTTGTATATTCAATCTTTAGCTTAGGTTTAAAATACTTGGCTAATATTGTGTATTTCTGTAAGAAATACTAATTGCCTTCATTTTAATCATATATCCAATGATTAAACTTCTAGAAATAAACTATGCCCTCAGAATCATGCCCGCAGCTCCGAATAATATGAGTGCGTGCTCTAAAGATAGATTCTAAAGCACAATTTCGAATGCAGAAATGAGGAATATACCCCTTTTGTGTTAGTTCCCAATCTGAAGCCCAGAGGAATTAAAAACAGTCCTTGGATTTTCGGTGAAGCTGCTATGATGGTTTTATGACTTACAAAACCTACATTTTTCCAGTGTTGCTTATTGCAATTGACTTTTCCCCTAAAAGTCATAACTGTGTATAATCATTTGAATCATTTTTTCTTGGAAACCTGAATAGAATTTCTTGCTGTATCTGTAAAGCATACATTTTTACATTTGTAAAGCAGAACATACTGTTTCTGTCTGTCCATAGCCTTCATGAATATCCAGCCCAGTCTGCGCTTTCCATTCCTCTATCACATCAGGGTTTATTGGCTCCCCAGCACTCACGCAGTGCCGCAGGCTTTTGAATGTATAGCTTAGGGGGCAAGAGAAAACAAGTAATCGGCAGTCATCTATCTGCTATGCCCCATTCACTACTGTATTCCTGTATTGTGGGGTTCTTTGTACATAAGCACAACATTTTTACTGAGTCCTATTCATTCCATTTGAACTGTACAGTGTTAAACAAAAACAAATCGGAAAAAAAAAAGGTTAAGCTACCCCTAAATCTTTATTCTGACTTTGTTCCTAATACTTAAGATTCAAAACATTGAGAAATACATGATCTGAGTTACTGTTATGCCATTGTAAATTTGGAATAAAATCAAGGTGAGATGAGCATTTGGTCTACTGTTTTGATCAAATACACCAACAAGGATACTCTGCTTTTGCTTACCTGGACAGTTTATGTTGCACAAACATTCGATAGGCAGTTGGAGGAGAACAGAAGACAGTTATGGGAAATCTTGACAGGCTCTAGAGAATTTAGAATAAAAAAAGTAAAATTTGCCAAAATACTGACACCTGTGAGGTCTCATCTTCATTGTAAGAGATAATGTAACTATCTCTGCATCCAGCTTATGAAACACATGAACAAAACATCAACTGCCATAAAAGCAGTTAGCTCTGTACTTGCCAACACACAGCAGTTACATTTAACTAGTTTCTTCTTCAAAGCAGAATCTGCATCATTTTACAATTAGTTCAACACACCAAAGTTTTTTGCTCTTGAAAACTTTACAGTTTCTCTTGCAGAATTTCTTCATAATTGCAGTTTAAGTAGAAAACAAGTGAAACCATAAGGCTACTTTTTAAGATGCTCTGTAGGTGTACAACTGAGAGTGTTCTTCAACATATCCTAATATTAACTAGCAATTTCCAGCCATCTAATTAATACAGCTATAATGATAAAGTCATTCCATGTAAAATGAAACATGGTAGTCTTTTTCAAATGAAGAAGAGTTGTGTGTGGAGGATGTAAGAGAATATAATGGCCGTGCCTTTTGTTAAAGAAATTCAACCTTGCTGCCTCTTCACTCCTTAACTTTGAATTACATGGTGCAGGCAACTGAAATTCTCATTCATCTGTTATTGTCACTTATTTTAATAACAACACCAAAGTGCTCCACAAATCCCAGAACAATTTCTTGCGTACTTCACTTTTAGGCCTAATAATGGATGTTTGCAGGTTTGTGCAGTCAAATCCAGAGCAGAGTATATGATGAAACTCTTTGGATGTCAAATATACTCTTGTTTTGGGGTACATATTTGCAGCACTCACTACTTAACTAATCAGTTGGTTACTGCCTGGTGAAAGTTATAACTGTGCTGCCCCTGTGCAACACCAGGAGAAATGAAAACCTGGGCAAGACCAGCCAGAGAGAATAGGGCTGTGTGTTGCTGGGCTCTCCTCACTTACCTCAAGGACAATGCGTGGGTTGAAGTGTGGCATCTTATGCACAAATACACATGCCCCTTGAATCCATGGTGAAAAAATGCTGCTCCAAGCTGACTTTGCCCAGCCCGTGTCTGATGTATTCCAAAATATATCTGAGGACGTCAAGTCCAGCCAGTACCTAGTAACACAAGGAAACGGTCCACAGTCTCCATTTGGCAGGAAAAGGGCAAATATTAAAATATCAACAAGAGATGTGCCAGTGAAGCAAATCCATCACTGATCATCTTGGGAAACTGGCAATTAGAAAAGGCTGAATTTCTGAGCAGGACTAAGTCACAGCATACTGAGGATGTCATCAGGATAGACCGATGCTGCATTTTTCTAAGGCAAAAATTATACTGACAGACAAGCAAACACCACCTCAGAACACGGTGTTGTATGAATATGTATGAGATTGCTGGGGTTTTGTTGAACTCATTTTTAGGGACAAGGAATTTTTTTGGTTTACTTCTAGTTTGGTATTTTCTGATTTGTTATTCTTTGCCTCTTACAGTGAAGTGCACTGCCATCTCAATTTTATAAACAACATTGCTTTATAAATGTAAAGGTTCTGAACTATCAGAATTTCATTCCTGTAGGAGCTGTGTCTAATCCAGACACACATGAATTCAGAAGCCTAACAGACCCATGTTTTTTTTCCCTTTTATGGTACAGCCTTCGTAAACTTGTGCTGATGTTCAGTTCATGGGCAATCTATTAACTATACACAATGAAGAATTTACCAAAAGTTAAAGAAGATGTTAAAAAGAAGTTAGTGACTGTATGACTGCTACATTCTCTATGAACTAAGGCAGCTGGACTCAAACTGGCCTGTTTATGGAAAAAAAAAAACCCAAACGCAACACTTTTTGGGATGTAAAACAACTGCTGGTTTTTGAACTATTGAAACAAAACAAAAGGTTCTGGTAAAAATCTTGTTTCTCTTCCTTCTGCTATGTGACCAGCTACAGAAATATGTCTGATTTAAAGTGGTATCTGTACCTTCCACTTACTGTGAGGCCAATACCATAGCTGCTGTGGGAATGTTCAGTCATTTTTGGAGATCCTGTAGTTCCACTGGTAAAATAGATAGCCATTGGATCCTGACACTTTGTGGTCACACAGTGGTGATCAGAAGGAGCATTTCTTAAAACAAGCAAAATTATTAATAAAGTGATTTGAAAGTGTGACTTACACATTTTTGAAAATACTTAACCAAAATAACTGCAGCAATCAGAAACATCATAAACATTGGTATTTTTCCACTGTACAGTCCTAAAAGGGTGAAAATACATTGTGTGTGCCAAAATTTCCTATTCAAAACAAACCGTTGTGCTTTTCTTTCATTCTTGCTGCGGTGCTTTCACAGTGGTATTTACTCACTTCATGAGATCTTTAAAGTTCAGCCATCCTTCTCTGTGGCCCTCTGACACAAGCAACTTGCATTTCAGAGACTGGCATTCAGCCCCAACTGAGTCTACAGCTGGTGCCACAGAATCATCAGTGATGATACACTTTGCCTGGGATTTCTGAAGTCGATGAAGAATGTCTTTCGCTGTCAACTGCTGTGTGCCAGGAATCAGGACAGTTCCTAAAGGGAAGAAAGGAGAATGGAAAAAGTGTCAACATTTAAGAATAATATCTGTGCCGACAAGCAGACTTCAGCTTACTTTGTTCTTTTGAGTGGGACAGAGCTGTACCAAAAGCAGGACTTGGCCCCGCATTTGTAAATATACTGATTTCTTTGATGGATTAAATGCTATGTGAGGATTAGCACAAGTTAGCAAATCCTATATTGATCGTGGGACAGCAAAAGAAATCAACAAAATAACTTCTCTTGTTCTGAAAACACTGCCCCTGGAACATGCCATCTCTCTGGACTTAACTTCTTTACTGGTAAACACAGCCATTGCCTCATGAGGTATGCTGCTAGTGCTTGTGAGGCACCAAGACATTCTGGGTTGTAAATACTGGGAAGCTGAGTATCTAACAGATCCCACAGGGGACCATGTGAAACACTTCATTAAGTGTGGGCTAATTTCACTGCAAGTTAGCAAGAGAGTGCATTTGTGATATGTCACAAGTGCTGGAAAGGGAAGAATGACAAGAGGCACATGGACTCACAGGGCTTCCTGAACAGCTAGAGCATGCGCAAGTCCTAAAAGCACCACAAAGAAAAAACTTGGCATGAAGAGTGTTTTTGACCAGCATGACACTCGTTCATCCTCATTAGCATGCTGGTAGCTCTGAGTGCATTAAATAGCAAGGATTGGTTTAAGTCACAATTTCTGTACCTATATACCATTTCTATCCTTTTACTAACCTGTTCTCATGCAAGCCACATTCACCAGCCACCACTCTGGGATCCGGGGCAGAATCAGAATAACTCTGTCTCCCTGTTGCAGACCGCAGGCATCAGAGAGTACATTTGCCACTTTTCTGGACAGCTCTCCCAGCTCCTCAAAGCTCCACCTCACCTCTTCTCCGGCACCATCTACCCACCATAATGCAGGGTTTTTAGACTTTTTTCCCTCCTATAGAGCAACAGAGTACAGTACAAATGCTTCATTTTAGAAAGACATTGCCTTTACCATAAGTTTGAGGAAGAAAAGCATTCCTCACGTACTCGGTGCTGGAAAAACCTGGGGATGCAACAGAAATTTGCCACTCATTCCAAATGAGGCAGAGAACTCTCCCTTAGAAAGAACAGCCTATAAATGTCATTTAGGAAATTCAATTTGTATTCCTTTCCTGAGTTCTTCATCTTACACTCTGAAGAGGTTGTACAGTAATCAGCACAGAGAAAGGAGAATCTTTTTGGTTCAGGTCACGCCAACAAAGCAGCTGATGAACGTGGGGACCTCTGGGTTGTGCCCCAGAGTCTCCTGAGCCCTCAGAGCTCATTTTCAACTTCATCTGGAATTGGGCCTGTCTGGTACTTCTGAAAATTAAATCAAAGTTTCAAAAGCATAGGCCCACACAGTGTGACCTTTAATCAACGTCTCACCTAACTGATGTGTGAAATGATTTGAAATGTATACACAAGATGTGCTTTAAAAGCGGGCCAATGCATTTAGCAGTAGCAGTGTAGTAAGTCACCTCCCGGGGAAAAAATTCACTGGGGCAGCAAGAGCATTATCTATTTCAAGGTACAACAACACTAAGGTTCATTTTCAGGGGAGCAGATTTTATCTGTGCACTTCAGAGGGCAAAACCTCTTCTGCAGAGAGGCTGTTCCTTGCTCTGTTCACAGCCTGCCAAAAACCTGGTTTTCCTGCAAAAGGAACAATTGTGTCAGACAGGTGATACCTCTGCTCTGTTCTTGCTGCCAGGCTGGGATAACGGCGTTTAGCCCCTCATCATGAATGGCCTGAGCCTGCAAAACCAGTTCCACATCCATAGAGACCAGAGCTATGTAATAAGAAAGGTGATAGAGCTATACTTCATGGGTTTTTTCTATATTCCCTTTCCTTGCATAGAGCTTATGTCTGGTTTGGGGTTCAAAGTTGTTCAGTTTTGTAGATTCCAAGTCCTTGATGCAAAAGATTTGACATTTGGGGTAGATGGGTGAGGTTTGACATTACACTGTATTTATTATTCATTTTACGGGCAGGCAATGAAACACACAGAGGTCAAGCGATTTCCCTGGCACATCCAGGCAGGGTGCACGTCATGGCTGATGGGGGAATTGATGCAAGGTTAGAGTGGTTCAGTTCACAGTCTTGTTTACGAGGCACCTATTTACTCACAATCTCACTGGAGTTACTAATTAAAGGAAAGAACTATTGGGATTCATGGACAGGACAGCGTGTGGCCTAAGGATCTACAGGTTCAAACTGCATGAGATGATCACCAGATTATAATCAGAACATAACCCCAGTGTCTTGATGATGGGATTTGTCATATACTCAGCATTAATGACCAGCATTAAATACTTCAGCATCAGAGAAGCCAAGTAACTGTTACCTTTTCCACACCAGTCCATCTGTCCAGCACATCTCTTGCAAAGTTGAAGTACTCTGGCACCTCTGGTCTGTACTGTTGTTTTATGGCCTCGTAACTCAAAGAGGCGTAAACTGGGTAGCACCGGCTGCCAAGTTGGAGAGATCTTCTCAGGGGAGCCCGCAGGAACATAGCACTTGGGATCTTCAGTAAAAAATGCACAGCAGCAAGAGCCATAATAGTCTCGTCAAGGTTATTCCTTACTGGTTATCTCTCCAAGAAATGCTAGTGATACAGATACAAACCTGGTATTAGCCATGTGGTTTCAGAACACCTTTTAGTACTAGACCATGGAATACACTGGAACAACAATCCCCACTGTTATTGGAGTAACTGCTGGGGACAGTTCCAGTTCGGCCATTGCCTGGCCCCTGCTCTCCAGTGACCATCATGCAGCTAAGATCCTCACCCTGCATTCAACCAGCAGCACTCAGCCTTGTCAGTGTAGTAGCTTTCCTATAACTCACGTTCCTTTCCTTCCTACAAGCCCCGCTAATCTTGGAGATCACATTTCAGTTGCCTTATACAGCAGAGAGGCATTGAACGTTACCCAAGCACTTCAACTCTGACTTCTGTAAATGAAATGTCTGGTACTGACTGATGATACAGAAGTAACAGCGTGGACCAAGATGTTGCAGAGATAATCCAGCAATCATGCGTTAATTACTGGCTGACCACAGCGTCGCTTGGTACAAAGATATTTCCAGTTTTCCTAGTTTATCAGCATTGGGGATATATTTGTTTCCAGGAATGAAATGAATATAGGAAAGCCCTGAGAAGATTCTAAGTATTGATGTTTTAAACATTATTTTGATGTGTGGTCAGCAAAAAGCTTCACTTTATGAGACAGGGAAACATTAAAAGACTCCCTGAAAAAGGATCCAAAATGCAGCCTTACTTCTCAAAAATAGTCAACTTAGCAGGAGGTCTGAAAACTCTGAAGTCATTATTTTCATGCATTGTCAACTGTCTGTTATTTACAAAATAATATAAACACTGCTAGCTCCTTATGGAATTAATAACCGTCCAGCTGTAAAATCATGTGATTTTAGTGATTTAGTAAAGCAAAGAGACATTTTTTGGATCTGTAACATTCAGTCTGCGTATGACAAACACAGGAGAGAAACCCAGCCAAATGAAAGACAGAGAGTGACAGAAGAGGGAATGTGGACAGACAAGAGGCAAGTCAGCACTGCTCCAGTGCCAGAAAATGAACTGGCCAGCAGCTTGCAGGGGTGGGTGGTGGGTCAGTTACCTTGTCAAAAGGCTGTCAATCCCAGCTTACTGCCTCTCCACCTTGCACTGAAGTGTGGCCCTCCCAGTGCCTGCGTGAGTCACAGCTTTGACTCCTTACACAGATTTCAGACTCCTGGCCGCGTGCCGGCTCTTGCACCACTACTGTGTCCTGTGACTGACTCCTGTGTTCCTTACACGTACTTTGGACTCACACAAGGGGCAGCCAAGTCCAGCACAGTGAGAAGAGCTAACAGCTCCACAGCTCAGAGTGGAGGTAGAAAGCGTGAGTCCCAAACCCATCCTGTTTCCTTTTTCTTCCCTCTTCCCACCCACCAGCCCATGGAGGAACACAGTCATAAGACCTTGCTACAGCCAAATCATGTCTGTTACGCTCTGGCTGGGGCAACACAGGAGCAACAGGCTTGCAACTGGCTTTTTGATGACACCGCTCAGCGGGTAGCTTGGGTCTCCTCAGGTAACCACAGCAGTTCAGCCATGACAGCAGTGAGTATCGATTCCTGGGATGCTGCAGCTGGCGCCTGGACCAGCTTTGTTAATACCTGGTGACTTGTGAGGTTTTGTAAGGGCTCTGCCTCATTTTCAGAGAGCACATAGTTACGTGGTGCTCCAGCATTGCTGCCTCCTCTGCTCCGTTCCCATGGGAGAGGCAGGAGGGAACGCGTGCCATCCTCTCTGCCACCCAGGCCACAGCCCAGCATCACTGTGCGCAAGGCTGTGGCATTGGTGCGTGCCTCTACCTTCAGCCTCTCCTGTGAGGATGTCACTCGCTACGGAGCTAGTGACAGCTGTAGCTTAAATTGGGGCACCCAGATTCATGAGTTTGGCTGCCAGAGCCCTAAGTATCTCCTGCTGTATCTCCATCCTCAAACTGTGGCTCTAAGGTCAGCAGAGAGATTGCTAGCACCCATCTACATCTTTGGAGCAGAACAGTCCTCTGGGTGCTGATCAGTGAGGGTGATGCTGCAGTCTTTCCTGGCGCGTAGGTCCTGTACTTTTCCAAGAACTCCCTCCTGGGGTTCTGCCCACGTCTGTTTGTAAACACTCAAAGGAGATGTTAACAAACTCCCTGAAATGTTCACTGCAGCATAAAGAAACTGATTCAAAGCAGATTCCCCCAAACAACAAAGCTGCTCTCTGCTTAGCGGTAAAGGGAGACCTAAAATCATAGAATCATAGAACCGTTTAGGTTGGAAAAGGCCTTTAAGATCATCCAGTCCAACCGTTAACCTAACATTACCAAGTCCACCACTAAACCAATTAAGGGTAGAGTAGCAACCCCACGCCTCCTGGCTTGATGGCTGGATCATTTATAATGAAAGTAAAAACTAGGAATCATTAAGATTGGAAAGGGCCTCTAAGATCATCAGTCCAACCATCAACCCAACACCACTATGCCCACTAAACCATGTCCCGAAGTGCCACGTCTACCCATTTTTTGAACACCTCCAGGGATGGGGACTCCACCACCTCTCTGGGCAGCCTGTTCCAATGCTTGACTACTCTTTCCGCGAAGAATTTTTTCTAATATCCAATCTAAACCTCCCCTGGTGCAGCTTGAGCCCATTTCCTCTTGTCCTATCGCTAGCTACTTGGGAGAAGAGCCCAACCCCCACCTCACTACAACCTCCTTTCAGGTAGTTGTAGAGAGCGAGAAGGCCTCCCCTCAGCCTCCTCTTCTCCAGGCTAAACAACCCCAGTTCCCTCAGCCGCTCCTCATAAGGCCTGTGCTCCAGACCCTTCACCAGCTTCGTTGCCCTTCTCTGGACATACTCCAGCACCTCAATGTCCTTCTTGTATTGAGTGGCCCAAAACCTACAGTCAGTCTGCAGTAGTGACATTTTAAACAGCTCTTTGAAACGCATGCAACAAAATCCTCCCAGAGGAAAGGCAGAGCTTTAATGGATTCCCTACCCAGAAGACCACATCACCCCAGAGGAGGCACGAATATTAAGAGAAAATGACAGCAATGGCTTGTGGTAAGAGTCAGTGAATATGCCAGGAATATGTAGGCAAGAAGGTTTCCAGTTTAGGAAGAAGACTGTAAATTCCACAGTGACCTAACCTGTAACGTATTCTTTTGGTAGGGCATATAACTAATTTCCAGAGTACCAATGGGTATTTCCAAGTCCTCCAGCAGTTTTCACCACAGAAGCATCCTAGTTATGTTCTGAGGGGTTAATTGTGTTTCCTCTGCACCACTCACAGCTGCCTGAAGAAATTCTTCCTCGTGTTTCAAACATGTCTTGACATGCCCAGCTCCAGAGACTATCACTATAATTCACCAGAACTTTGAGTCTTTCACACAACCCCAGCCCTGCAAAGATTTAGGGACTTTTAATTTATGTGTGGCCCATAATGCCACCGATGTCTAACAATTGCTGTAGAATTATATGAGCCTCAAAGGCTTTGCAGGAACAAAGCTTCAGATAAGATGCAAACGCCACCTCCTGTTGTGGTTGTAACTGGTAAATACTTCCATCAATTCATGAAGTTTCCTTTTTTCCTACTTTAGCTCGACTGGAATCTCTGGATGTAAATAATATGATAGTCCTGCCCCTAGTGAGGCTTCCTTAGGTGTCTCCTCTACCCGTTTTCACAAACTGTTGAGGAACTTAATTTTTTCTCCCCTTGATTGTCCAAGCAGCTCAAGAGTTGCTGCAGGGAGAGGAGGTTCTTACGGACAGGGGAGCACAGAGACGCCTTCCTTCAGAAACTACGCTACGGGCCACGTTTTTTCTTCCAACGCATATTCTCTGGTATCTCAGGCCTACGTTTCCCTGTACAAAGAGTTTGTGTTTCAGCTGGTCCCTCTAAACCGTGACACCTTCGGGAGTTAGCTAGGAAGCTGGGGAAGCGGCCGAAGCCCGGCTCCCTCCCTGCTGGGGTGCACGGCCCGGTGCTCGAC